GGTTCCTACGACTAAGGAGAGGGGCACTATTTATAAAAATCAGTTTCTTGGTCTCTGGCTTAGAATGCTCTACCCTGGAAACATCACAGAGAAGGCTGGATTTTCCCCCTAGGTACTATTAGGTTTCAGACATTGATGTCTATGCCCTGTTGTGGGAATAGAGATGTGGGAGTGAGTTTGATCATGATGATGGTAAGAGATGGATTTCAATATGTATACTCTTGGAACATTGTTGCAATACTTAAGAGTCACTTCTCATACAAATTCTTTCACTACCTAGAACCAGACGACCTTTCTAGTTTCCAATCTAGACTCTTAAAATTAACAATGACTACTATCTATATATTCAGTGGTCCATCACCAAACACATATACCTCATATTTTCCACTCCACTGAACTATATTGCATTCAGTCAACCTCTCTTAATTCACGTATTTTCTGCTAAATGTATTCTAAAATTGAACCCTGCAATGTTCTCTAATTCTAATGACTTTTTAATATTAGTTCCCTATTTTCTACTAATACTTCCACCACCTCCACAACCATGCAACAAATAACTGGAATCAGTCCTGTGCTTACACTGATTAGTGCATCTAATCCTCCAGAATCACAGATGATCAAATTGTCCATGGCCACTCAGCTAGTAAGGGATATACACAGACACCAGGCTTCAAACATGACGACTATTTGTATTAGTATTCTCTCCCTTGCTTGTTGACTTTTGTACACACGTACACATGGATGGGAGTGGGGAACGCTCTTTCTCCCCACTCGCAACCCTTATTTACCTGCCGAATTCCTACTAGTTGTTTAAGGCTCAACTTAAGGGCAATCTCCTCCATGAAGCATCTCAGGTTTTCTCTGCTCTCTCTCCTGTTTGGGTGGGATGCCCTTGCCCTGGGCTGCATTACCAACTGTGCCTCTATCTCCTCCCTGCTTTCCCTGAAAGACAACTGGTTAGTTGCCTCCTCTCTCTCCCTCTCTTTTACAGAGCTGTAGGCTCCTCCACAGCATAATTGGGTCTGAGTCTTGGGATTCTGAGCATTTAGCACAGTGCGTAGCTCGTGGTACATATACAACCAATGCTTGTTCAATACTAAGTCATCCCACTTCTCTGATTTGGTCAAAGCCCTGATGAATGATGTCATCTGACTTAGCAAGACAGACAGATGATTCCCATCATGAGTGATGCAGGCTATCATTTCCCCACCTTTTCATGAACTCATTCTAGCTCACTAGGTTTACATTGGAACAAGTAGTTACCACTAATTGAGGAACTGCCACTTCTCAGACACTGGGGTGTATGCTTCACTCATATCACTGAGTATCCTCACAATACTGCCAAGTTGACATTATGATTTATATTCATTTCATGAAGAAGTTATCTTAAGTAACTGGCCTACAGTCACATAGTAGGCAGGCTTTGTTATAAAAACAGGTATAAAATGCCCTATCACATGGAGTCTTCCCTGTCCTGGAGAGATTCATTAGTTATTTGTGAAAATTACTTACAGGCCAAAAAACAAAAACTATGTTAATTTGATGCTAGAACACTAACTAGTAAATTCCTAGAATAGTAAAAGTGTGGTCAGCTAGGATTTTGAGAGGCTCCAAGGCAGTTCTACCATATGCATCTATCCATGGCAAATCATGCCTGCAGTCCTTATCAGACAGATGGAGATTATTATATCTATGTACCTAAAAGGGGGTTGAATATCATATGAGATCATAGTTGCCAAAGTGCTTTGTGAAGGAAGAGGACAGAGGCTCATTTTAGAACAGTGTGCTGGACAGTTTCACAGCAGTGGGAGACCCTAGGGATCAGAGCTACCGGAGATGTTGTTTAACAGCAAATGAGGGAAGCTTGACTGGGAATCCACATTTATGACAACAAGCCCCCAAATGATTCTCTGGGACACTAAAGTTTGAGAAATAACAGGTTACAGCAGTGCTTCTCAAATGTTAACATACACATGGGGATCTTGTTAAAATGCAGATTTGAATTCAGTGGGTCTGGAAGAGAGTAGCAGGCAGGCTAAAATTTTGCATTTCTAATAAGCTCCCAGGGGAGGCCACATGCTACGGGTCCATGGACCACGTTTGAGTGGCAGGGGCTTGGAAGATCTATCCCCACTGGAACAAATTAGATTTGCTTTGTTTCTGATTGCACCCCCCAACTTCAGAGAGTGTTTTCCATAAAGCCCAGGGTCTTAGTATTGGTATAAAATTACTTGAACTACTCAAAGCCAAATTGAAATATACTTCCTATCACAAGTAAAGCAGCACCATTCTTTTTAGATAGGGATAGCATACGTTTAGCATGTGGAAGAATAATTTATTACTACTGAGTGAGTCTTATTTAAAAGTGTGCAAAGCATGTTATATACATTATCTCTAATCTCCACCCTGCCCCTAAAAAGGTGGATATTCCTGTTCTGTAGATAAGGAAATGGTGACTTAAGTAACTTGGTCAAGGTCACACAGCTAGTTAGGTGTTACCGCAGGGATTCTGATCTTGCTCCATCAGGATCCAAAGCCCACGTGTCCTCTGAACTCCCTCAGAGTGCTAGATATGATTGTGATATGAAATGCATCAGCTTGGGAATCAAGAAAAAAGCAGGGGGAAAGTTTTTTGCGTTTAAGGCTCTGCTGAGGCATAAATGGTGTGAATGGTGGTGGGGTTGGGGGATAAGGTTCGTTAGTGATCCATGTTGCCTCACGGACAAAAACATGCAGATAGCATCCTTATTAATGGTTCCCATAAATCTGATAATGCAGATGGAAAAAAAGGACACTAGTGACCAGCGTACTGATTAGAAACACGGCCACCTACCCTGAGGCTCAACCAACTAAGAGGAAAAATTCCTCCTGACCCTTGTGGTCTGTCAACTTCCTCACTCTTTTGTATGAGGTTTCCGTAATCTAAGAAGTTCATACCAAACACAGGTTTATCCTTCTATGTTATGGCATAGTTGCTAGACCTCCATACCGCTAATGCTGCTTGCATCTGAAAAAAATGTACTATTTAGTCAAATGCCTTGAAAATGTAGTTATTTTGAAGGCTCTGAGTAACAAAATTTTCTATACTTTTCGTGAGGTTGATGTGGAGATACACACTGCGGTAAAGATGCATAGAGAAAGCGGTCAGATAGTTACCTAGGTGTTCTAAATGGGGGAAAATAGTTACAAAATAAACCATCCAGGCAATTACCACCCAGTGTCTTCAGCATGCAATGATCCACTGGTGGAGGACACAGGGTTGAGGTTTTTTTAACATCAGGTCTCTCCACAAATAGCCCTCTGTAGCTTAACTATTATGTTTTCTAAAGGTTCATCTTTATAAACAGTACAATTACTTCCCTTTGTAATACAAACAGAAACAATTAGAAAGCAACATCTCTTGCAATTAAGATGTATGTACAGTATTAGTATAAAACCAAAGAGTGATATTTGAGCTATTAAGGATTATAAATTGATTTTGTCCCTATGGTATTCTCTACAAAGCATGTTTCAAAAATAAAGACTGAAATCTAAAAAGATATCTTTGGTTTAAAAACTTAACAGCAGTTTTAGAGAGTGTGTGTGTTTTAAATAGCGGGTATGAAATTGCATCGGGAGCCTAGATTTCAGACTAAGCATTTATTTCACTCCCTAACCCCAAAACAGTTCAGATCTCAGATTCAAACCAAAGGGTCACAGAAACCAATGTGAGATTTTCTGAAGAGACTTCACCGAAATGTATGGACAAAAACATGTTTGCGATGAGTCATATTTCATAGGACCTTAATGGCCAATGTCTTATGTGCCTTTCTTCCTACAATCAGTATCACTCCCAAGCAAGTTGGTGACATATTTTCCAGGCCTTGATAATTTTTATACAGTTACCAGATCTCACTAAGATTCACGAACAAAACCCTTTCTTGTGCTAATTTTTAAAAGCCATCTAAGAGAAGAGAACGCGATTCTTTCCAAACTAACTCTCCCCAACCAGGCAGTTAATGCCCTTCGCCAGCATAAGGGCGCGATACTTTTAAGACCCCAGAGAGAAGCTCAGGTGCTTTGGGGGCACTACAAGTAAAAAGACAGTGGGAAAGGTTCATGGAGAGCCGCTTTGGGGGAAAGGCAGACATAACAACAGGATATGTTCGTTTCTAGAGGAAGCAGGAGCTGCAATAGCCCCGGAGCAGGAAAGGCGGAGTCAGCTGCACCCAAAGGAAACGGGCGCGCCAGGGTTTGCTGGAACCGGGGTTGCTTAAGCGCTCTCGCCCCGTCTAGTTCGAGACTGCTGAGCACCTCGCCCCCGAGGGACCAAGCTCAGGCCTCCTGGCACTAGTGGTTATAAAGAGGTACCCATATGCTCTCTGCCGCCCCTGCCAAAAAACGGGCCACGGGGGAAAGAAAAAAAGCACACACCAGGCGCCGCAGCAGGTGAACTTGTCAGCAAGTCAACCCTGGACGCAAGTCCCTGCCCACCAGGGAGCTCGGGGTCCTGGGGCCGGAGCCGCCGGGAAGGCGAGGCGCGGGGTGGGTGGCTGGGGTGGGCTGGCGTGGGTGCCGGTGCTCCCAGCGCTGGGGCCGGAGCGCGGAACGCTTCCCTCCCGCTCCCCCGGGGCTGACGCACGCTCTCATGGCGCGCGCATCCTTCAGACCTTCCCAGGCCGGAGGGAGGAGGGGAGAGGAAGGGGCTGATGCGGTTCCCGCACCGGGATCCGGGACCCGAGGAGGCGACCCGCCTATCACGCGCCGCCCGCGGAGGGCAGAGAAGGCAGCTCCTACCAGGCGTCCCCGACCGTCCCGGCTGCCGGGCGTCTCCTGCTGCCTCCTGCAGCCCGCCCGGCGCGCCCCCGCCCCGACCCCGGAGGGCAGGTACCTCGGAGCCCCGGCCCCCAGGAGCCTCCCGGCCGCGGTCGGAGCGTCCCTGCGGATCACTCATCCGACGTCAGCGTCAGCCGAAGGCGAGGGAAAGGGGCGGGGGAGCGCAGGAACCGGCCCTTCCTGTGGCGGCCGCCACCAGCCGGAATAGCAGCCGGCGGAGCCCGTGCGCGCCGCAGCGCAGCGCAGCGGCCGGGGGGGTGCGGGCGCCCTTGCCGCCCGGATACCTACCGCTGCCTGGGCGTCCCCACTGCCTCCCTTCCCCGCTTCTCCCCTCCCGCAGACGCCGGCCGGGGCGACCCCTCCCAGGGTAACCAGGGGGAGGTGAGTGGCGTTGACCTCACCTTGCCTGGGGCGGGTCGGGGACTCGGGGAGTGAGTCTCTCTCTCTCTACTCCCCGGGGTCTCTCCTCGACCCCCATCTCCTGGGGTATCCCCCGCTCGGATCCACCGCCCAGAGTGACCCCGCCCCTGCTCTCCGGCAGGTGTTCCACGTGGCCATAGCTTTTGCGTCACAATGACCTGGCGGACAGGTGGGAGCCACAGCGTACACCCCAGGGTTCCCTCCGTGCCGTGCGTAGTGCCTGCTGCTTGCTTCCAGGTTAAATTTCTGTAGCTTTAGAGGACGGGAGACTTCATGACTTCAATGCCAAGAAAAGTTACAGAGGCCTGCTGTACCTGAAAATCAAGTTTGAGCTTCAAGAATAAAGGCCATGTTTTAAAAACAGCTGTGATGTATAGTTATATATTTTTCATGCCCATATATTTCTGTATCTTTTATTTCTAAGTTGTTGCCATTTATAGCAGTTTCATCTTCTCTTATCCTTTGTCACCAGGAAAGAACCAAACCATTGTTTCTAGAGACCCTGCAGTGTACAGATCACAGGAAGAAAAAGTGTTGGCGTAGCTGCTTCCTAATGTTATCTATGTGGAAATGAAACCTCAATGTACTATGACTTCATCCCTGGTTATGTTGTATATTTATAAATAAGTTCATTCAGTCGTCGCTGAAACAACTTAAAAGGGCCGAAAGATAGTTATTGAGTAATGATGCAGACAAATCTGAAATCCTGCGCTAACATGGATGGAGTGCTAGCTATATGTCCGGCACATGCTGTATGCTTTACATTTAATCCTTACAGCAACCCAATACTGTAGATAAAATCATTATCCCGATTTCACAAATGAAGACACTGCCCAGAGTGCCATAAAGAGATTATTGAGCAGGGATTTGAATCTGAAGTAGGAGACTTAGTTTAATCTCAAGATAGCTTGGTGTCTTGCCAGAATGGATGGAGAAAAAGTATAGAAGATGTTGACATTTTAATAGAAAGATAATAAGATAGCATAGCTCCAGAAATTTACATAACCTTTAAAGTTATTCTTTGGGGATTCTGTTTGTCATAGATTTGAGCCTGTCCTAGTCTAACACAAATTTTGGAGCTGAGTAAACAGCTCCTTAATAAGTGTGTATGAGTAAACAAATCATGAATATGGTCTACAAAATAGTAAATTGTTGAAAAGCTGAGATTCAGGAGAAATTTTCAGAGAGAAAAGCATTGCTTATATACATTTGGCTCTTACAAGAAACATTCAACCTAACCTGTTAACAACACAAGCCAAATGATTTTGCCATATGTAAGAAGAAGAAGAAAAAAACCCAAAACCTTTAAAATGAGAAAGGCTTCCTTACAAAAGAAAGATTGTTAAGATATTTTAAGATACATTGATTCCAAGAACTGTAAATTTATGTGTAAAAATCTATTATCAGGAGTTAAAAGGATAAAGAGATTACTTTTCTTTAACAGAATGAAGTGCCGTAATGAACGTCAGAGGTGCTCAATAAATGTTGACTGAGCATATCATCAGTTAACTGGAGCATTTTCCTGACTCTGTAATGTTCTCCTTTCTACCAGTAGTGATTTACCAGTTATATTAAAACTTAATCAGAAGCCCCATTGGTCAAAGGCTGGCTTTGGGGCAAATATTTATATCTGTTACAAAACAGCCAGTAGAATGGGAGGTTATGTGTGTATTCAAAGTATTCCCTCAAAATGCAGATGATTGGAACAAAAGCATGAGGGGGAAAAACAGGGACAGCTGAGCTGCAACTAATTACAGTTTTCTTTTACCCTTTCTGAATTCCAAGGTGAAAACTGTGACTGTGAGTCTAACCTGTTACAGAGGCTAAAAGTGGCTTCAAAAGCAATGTCTAAAAGAGAACAAATACCTGACACAAGCATTATGTAGTCAACATGGCACTGAAATTCTTTGGGCTCCCAGAAAGTTTAGGAGAAAACCTTAAATGACTTTTCATCATTCTAATTATTGTCCTAACACTTAGGGTAATAGTTGAGAAAGGAGGTAATAGACAACTCCTGCTCATTCTCCATCACCACAATGAGAGCTTTTCCTTCCCATTAAAAACATGACTCCATCAATAACACTTGCATTTGTTTCTGAATAATCAGTTGTTGTTTCCATCTCGCAGAACACCAGTGAGGTGCTAGTGAGAACCCAGAACAATTTCTAAGGAGAATGGCTATTGAATGATGGGATCAGAAATTAGGAGAGAAATAAGGTGCATTTTCCAGTGTACAACAGGATGACAAAATTTTCTATGAAAAAAATCTTTATATATTCAATTCAAATTTTTTCAAGAGCTTCCTGGATTCAAGTATGCTAATGGTACCACAAGAGTTGGATTTGTGTTAAGCTACTATCAGAGACTTGGAATAGCAGTGGATTAAATGAAATAGGGGTTGTTTTCTCACTTAAATTGGAAGGTAGGCAGTCTAGGGCTGGTATGATTTCCACTGTGTCACTGGGCTGTTGCCCTTCTGTCATTCTATTCTGCCATCCTAGGCAAAGCAATATTGTCCAAAGATAAACCCAGGCGAGGATGTAAATTGGTGGTGGAAACTGCTGGTGGGAATGTAAAATGGTGCAACCACTTTGGAAAACAGTCTGAAAGTTCCTTAAACGGTTAAACATAGAGCTACCATATGACCCAACAATTCCACTCCTAGGTCTATATCCAAGAGAAATAAAAACCTATGTCTACAGTACACAAATGTCTATGGCAGCATTATTCAAAATAGTCAAAACTAACTGTCCTGCTGTAGACAAATGAATAAACAAAAGGTAGTATATTCACGTAATGGAATATTCAGCCATGTAAAGGAATGAAGTATGCATATATGCTACAACTTAGACAAAACTTGAAACATTATACTGAGTGAAAGAAGCCAGTCACAAATATATTATTCCATTCATACGAAAGTCCAGAATAGAGAAATCTGTAGAGGCAGAAAATACATTAGTGATCATTTAGGGCTGGAGAGAGTATGGGTGGATAGGGAGTGAGATCTAAAGAGTACAGAGTTTCTTTTTCTTTTTTTCTTTTTTCTTTTTTTTTAAAGACAGTCTTGCTGTGTCCTGCAGCGTGGAGTGCAGTGTCACAATCTTGGCTCACTGCAACCTTCACCTCCCAGGTTCAAGTGATTCTCCCGCCTCAGCCTCCTGAGTAGCTGGGATTACAGGCATGCACCACCATGCCAAGCTAATTTTGGTATTTTTTGTTTGGTTGGTTTTTGGTGTTTTTTTTGTTTTTGTTTTTTTTTTTTTGAGACAGAGTCGCACTCTGTTGCATAGACTGGAGTGCAGTGCACAATCTCAGCTCACTGCAGCCCCCATCTCCTGGGTTCAAGGGATTCTCCTGCCTCAGCCTCCTGAGTAGCTGGGACTACAGGTGTGTGCCACCATGCCCAGCTAATTTTTGTGTTTTTAGTAGAGACAGGGCTTTACCATGTTGGCCAGGCTGGTCTTGAACTCCTGACCTCAAGTGATCCACTTACTTTGGCCTCCCAAAGTAGTAGGATTAGGAGTTTCTTTTTCATGTGTTGAAAATGTTTTACAATTGGTTGACTGGTGATGTTTACAATATCTGCAATATGCCAAAAACCATTGAGATGTGCATTTTACGATTCATTGTGAATTAGTGGCATGTGAATTATGTCTCGGTAAAGCTATTTAAAAAGTTAAAAAAAAGGTGTTTATAGTTTTATTGGCACGTACACACACATGTGTGCACACATGTACACAGTAAATCCAGTGTCTTCCCCAGGAATAGTTACAGGGTAAGAACCATACAACAAACCCCCAAATATGTGACATTTTCAGATTTCTGGATACTATTCAAATTCTACTGGCACTAAGAAGCTAAATATGAGGAAACAGGACAGAAAAATCTGTTAATGAAAGAGAAATATTTCAGGTCCATCCACTGGATACCTCATGATAATATAAAGGAAAGTTGCTGCCGCACAAATATTTTGCAAGCGTGCTCTAGTCTTATAGCATCTCAGTCTTCTTAGCTATCTCTGTTTAAATGCAGGAAGAAGCAGACTATCTGCCAAAACAATCCTTTTGGATAAGCACAAACACAGATAATAGTGAATTTTATGGAATTGAACTTAATAATAACAAGGAGGTAAAGTGATACTTTGTCCTGAAAAATTAATATTAGTGGAGGATACCATTGAAGGTAAAACAAAACCAGCTTCCCACTCTACCTGCCCCAAATCTGCACTTGCAGTAAAAACCCCCAAAAACAAAGCAAAATAAGAATTATGACACTAAAGCCCCAAACTTCTATTTTAATTCTTAAAAAAGAATACTGCAGAGATATTTTCAAATTAATGCCAATTATTTTGAATGAGCAAATTATAGGAATATTCATATAGGAAATAAGTTTTTCAGGAGCTATTTAATGGTCTTATGTCTTAGGGGATCCTTTTAGCTGAATACTTCCCAAGGCTCCTTAGTGTGTGCCAAGTTACTTTCTCTCTTCTCCCTCTGAGGTAATCTAAAATGAATTAAATTAGCAATGTATTTCATCTCATGTGACTGAAACAGTGTCATATTCCTAATACATAGGAATATATATTTATTTGTTTCAAGTGGAACTTAATCCATAGGCCATCTCTGATTTGACATTGATTATCATGTAGACTGAATTCAATAATCTCTCTCTTGCATGTATATGTATTTATATAAATTATATATGGACATACAAATACAAACTTCTCACTTACATATGATCTGGTCTATTTTATTGGACTGTTGATACATATTTTTGATGTTCTAAATGTTCCCTATGATCTCAGGTCTCAGCCAACATGAGCAAGTGAGGCAGAATGCCCCACTTTCTCTTGGTGTGTGGGTACTGTAAAGCAAATGAACGCTCTACCATTCCTTCTAGACAGATATTTATAAGCCCCTACAGCTCTGCAATCCTTTTGTTTCCTGATTCGTGTTTGGCAGCATCATAAGTACTCATTGTACCTGTTCTATAGTAGGGGATGTTGAGAACAGAGCTTAAGCTATTATCATTATCAGTGTGTTTAATAAGAGCCATACATATAAATCTCTCCAGAGCTCAGCTCATTAATAAGAAAAAAATCACTTTCTCTTTAGAGTTGCTGGAAGATTAAAATTAGATAATCTAGAAGAATAAACTTAGAAAAAAATGATGTTTAAAAATTATTAAAATCATTGTCTAATTTCTATAGGTGTTTTAAATTTAAAGGATGTTATAAATTTAAAGAAAGATTACATCAAATTTTATTAATAAAAATAAAGTCATTTATTCCTGAATTGTGTAATCCTTAAAAACAAATTGGATTTACTCAAGAATATGGACTAAGTATCTTGGCCAATTTGAGTTTAATTCCTGTGATCATTTGTACTCTCTATATAGCAAATCAAAGCTTTTGTTATACCCTCAGCAGAGCTAGTTATATCTTTAGGCAGATTTATGTGTGCATGTGAAAATAGAACAAATGTTTAATTAGTAGCGTTAACTTTTATTAATTAAAATTAACTTCCTTTCCTTTCAAAATTAAGGCTACAATGAAGAGAGGAGCCTTGTTTTACACTAAAAGAAAGGTAATTATTTTC